CAATAACTCCCTTTATAATTTTTAATGTCTCGTGGTCCCGACGAACTTGCTTACGAATTAATGTCATGCTCCTCTCAATATTCTCTGAGGCAATAAACTCCTGAAAAACGATTTTTTTTCACATTTCAACCTTACTTATTATTGGGTTTCAAATACTGTAAAAAATTTTATTTTATCATCTTTTGCCATTTTTTTCCATATTTTCTGACTAGAGAAGACTCACTGCTGACCACCATTCTTAGAATTACTTCCCTTATATCGTTGAAGAAGTCACATGTGTGACATTCCTATCTGATTTGATATTCCTTCGTGTTAAAAGCTGATCAGGAATCACAAATGACCACACACATCACATTAACACCTGAAAGAGAAAATTTTCTGTAGAGTGTGGGTGGAGCACCTTTCACAAACGAAAATCATTTTCGTGCTTTAGACTCGATGCATACGGGTTGACTTGACAGACAAAAAAAATGAATTAACAAAAATATCAGATAATTTTCAATAAAAATGCTTTTCAGATATGTTGACGATCTTATTTTCTGAATTTATTTCAATTGTTTTTAATATTTAACCGTAATTAACACACTGCAAATTAATTATTTGCGTACTATATAAATACATTTAAAGTTAATACATAGATGACATTAAAATCTTATTGTGTCCCCAAAGTTTGAAAGCCCTCGATATAACAATGTATCCCTCTACAACACTATATTTATTTGGACCCGAAATGTTGTTTTAGGGAGGTTCTACTGTACTTGCATAATTTTAAGAATATTCTTGGCTTAAAATTGTGCTATCTTAACGTAATTGAGTGAGAAAATCACGCCGAATGTATTTCTTATTGAAGGCACAGTTTGAGACATTGTTTCAGACAATCTTTGTGAAAAAATTTTTACGTAAAAACGATAGTTCTGGAAACTTCGAGTTCGAAATCGATAGAACTAATATTTATAGCGAAGATCGTCTAGAATCGTGTCGAAAGTTCCAATATTTCGTCGCCAAATCTATATAAATAAGAGTGAGTATCGTCTGAGAGAAAGGGAATGACACCAAGCTGTGATCCTTGACTCGGGAGTAGGTGAGTTTTAATATTGCAGTAAAAGTTTCCCCAGATAGCTCTACGTCAGTGCTTCCCAAACTTATGACTTTTGTGTACCCTTTCTAAATTTTACGCAACGTGTCTCATAAAAAAATGAATGTATTTTTTACTATAAAAAAATTGCACAAAATCACAACTGGCTGTTCATACTACTCATTATTAACTGTTAACTCTGCAAAAAATAGCCCATAGAAAAATACGTAATTGTAATTTTTCATGGCTAGCTTTATTTTTAAATATTTGTTTGTTGCGAGATATTTCGCATAGGAACGCGTACCTCCGCTACACTATTCCCGTACCCCTGGGAGTACGCGTACCACACTTTGGGAAACCCTGCTCTACGTCTTTGAATATAGATTTATAGTCTGCTACTACTTCGGCCATTCTTTCAAATCTGATCTTTCCGATTTACTGTATAATGTCGATACCCCCACCTTTAATGAGTTTTGTAAACAGCTGCATTCTCTGGAAGTTTTTACTAATTGTTTTTGTTGTTACTAATACCACTTTTTTATAACCGTCGTAACAGCCGACCCAATGTTTTGGGCTTACGACTAATAATTTTCAACTCAGTAGCCTTGAAGTTTTGAACCCAAGCCAGAAGACAAGGGAACTCCTGGATAAAGTAGTGGGAGAAATTGGCCTTCGTGGAGGACTGTTTGATGAAACTAACCCTCATTTGCCTTACACGGAGAGGAAAACCACGAGAAAATCCCACGGTTAGCCTAACGGCAAGGGGACTTTAACCTATGATCCGTCTACCAATGAGGATAGTTCATGCCAGCACTGTGGGCGGTGCAAGCCGGATGCGGAATTCATATCAACTGGGATTCGAGCCCGGTTCGCTTCATTGGAAGGCGACCGCTCTATCCCCTGAGCCATCGCGACTCTACTAATACCACTTGTAAATACCAGCATGTTTGATTTGTAAATCAAGGCGATTTTAAGGCAGAAGGAGCGTTTCTTGTTTTTCAGTTGTACCCTCTATGTCCAAAAATAAGACTTCAGTTACACACACGTCACAGACCGTTTAACAGGCAGAACCCATTCATACTCCATTCCTTCATGCACAGATCGTAATTTTGACCTGAATTTGAGAACGATCAATATCCAATTCAGTACCCGCAGAATTCTTGATTTGTTACTGAAATTTGGAGGATTGTGTGACCCCTAAGATGTAATGTGCATCAGTCACCATTCAATACACGGGGATTCTTCGGTCAGCGGGATTCAAACTCACGAACACGAACCCACCGTCCTACCAACCAAGCTATCCCGACCCATCGAAGTTTCTACTAATACAATTGTGAGTCTTAGACGATTCTCACCGGCCGCAGACTTCCCTTGTAGTAAATGGTGACTGATGCACTGTAAATCTGTCGAGTCACAAAGTCCTCCATGTTCCCATAACAAATCAATACCTTTGAGGGTACTGATCCAGGAGTTTCCTTGTCTTCTGGATTGTTTCAAAATGACAAGGCTACGGAGTTGAACATTAGTAGTCGTAAACCTTAAATTGGGTTCACCATTCAACTGCGGATATAAAATAAAATAATATAAAATAAGATATAAAATAAAATTGTGAAGTCTTAAAGGCTATTCGATAACTTTTTTTTTCATAGCCCCTTGTACGCTTACGCTCAGCATCCCCGATGATTTTTATTTTATTTTATAATATTATTCGCATCCAATACAAGAGAACTCTTCTACTTGGTGCAGTATTAAATCCTGAAATAAAATAATATCAGTCATTAAGATTGAAAAAAAAAAGAAGAAGTGTGGGATTTTGTGAGTCCTGATTTCACTTGACCATATTCAATTTTGAGAGTTGTTTAAAATACAGCAACCAAAACATTTATATAAAAACCTTTATTTTATGATATTCAAGGTTCAACATCTTGAATCTTTTTATACATTCATTTTATTTAAAGTACTTAAAGCTGTTTAATGTCATGCAATATTCAATAAATAAGTTATAAATATACAATGAAAAAATGCGACAGCAGTTGGAAATCATTTTGTGCGAATCAGGATAATTTCGTAATATCAAATTCTGTGACACAGAGAGACAGACAATCAGATTTTTTAAACACGAATTGAATTAAGATATTACGAAATTATCGAATATTTGAGCTTCATAAGTTGTTGGTCTCATTTGAGAAAAGAAAATTTCTCACACAAATCAACAAAATAAATCAGTATTCTATTTAAATATCTGTTACACCTAGGAACAACAATTCTTCGAATTCTATAATTCGAGAACAAGTGACTAATTTACACTTAACATTCGTTTAGTTTTTATTGATTGTTTTACATATACATAGATAAAACAGAATATTTATATAAATCATTAAAAAAAATGATATGAAAATATTTTTTACAAGGCATAATAATAATATTCATATATTTCCTATGTCCTTAACTTTTATAATGGCATCTTCAGCATTATAAAATAACTCAAAAAAACATTGTTTTGCTTGTTATTTATTATATTGTTGTATGGGGACAAAATTATTAAGCATTGTATAAAGATTGCCTGCATTATGGAGATGTGTGTGATATAACGTCACCAATCAGGGTTATAGAGGAAGATAGAAGTACATCACACCTTGCATCAAACTAATTTGCCAAATCACTTGATTAGAGCGGCTGTGGCTCAGGGGACCAATGAGGTGAACCGGGTTCGAATTCCAGTTGATACGAATTCCGCATCCGGCTTGCACCAACCACAGTGCTGATGTGAAATATCCTCAGAGGTAGACGGATCATGGGTTCTCGTGGTCTTCCTCTCCATGTAACGCAAATGCTGGTTAGCTCCATCAAAAAAGTCCTCCACGAAGGCAAATTTCTCCTAATACTTTATACAGGAGTTCCCTTGTCTTCTGGATTGGGTTCAAAATGACAAGGCAGCGGAGTTGAATATGAGTAGTCGTAAGCCCAGAAATTGGATCGGGTGTTCAACGAAAGTTGTAAAATAATATAAAATCACTTGTTTAAAAAAATTAAGTTCTTTCAAAGGAAAGAAAGTTCGTCAATAATGTTCTGTAGTATATTTTTCGTGAACCCTATCTGAAAACAATGATGTCAGATTTTTTTGTGAAAAAGACAGACATTAATGCTGGAAGAGTCTAAACCAAGATAGCAACTATCGACGACTTTCATGATTTTACTTCATTTTATAACATAACCGTCGTTGAACAGCTGATCCAGTTTTTAGGGTTTACGACTACTAATGTTCAACTCCGTAGCCTTGTCATTTTGAACCATATTCAGAAGACAAGGGAAGTCCTGGATGAAGTATTGGGAGAAAATGGCAGTCATGGAGGACTTTTTGACAGAACTCACCCGCATTGGCGTTACATGGAGAGGAAGACCACGAGAATTTCCCACGTTTAGCCTAACGGCAAGGGGACTCTCACCCATGATCCGTCTACCACTGAAGATATTTTACGTCAGCACTGTGTTCTATGTAAGCCGCATGCGAATTCGTATTGGCCAACCATCACCAGGATTTGAACCCGGTTCACCTCGTTGGAAGGCGAACGCTCTATCCCCTGAGCTATCGCGGCTCAAAACATTATGATTATATTACCGTCATTGAACAGCAGACCCAATTTAGGGTTTACGGCTACTAATGTTCATCTCCGTAGCCTTGTCATTTTGAACCCAATCCAGAAGACAAGGGAACTCCTGGATCAAGTATTGGGAGAAATTTGCCTTCGTGGAGGACTTTTTGATGTTTTCTAACCTGCATTTAAGTTACATGGAGAGGAAAACCACGCCATGTACGCTTTGAATCGCCATGGTTTTACTTTCACTTTAAATGCTTTCATGAGAACTGGTTAATTAATTAAATGCAATCTACGATGCGTTTCTTTTGCCTTTTATGGCGCTGAAATTTGGTGAAGCTAGCGTTGATATTTTTATAGATCTAACACATTCATTTTTTAGTTAAGGCAAACTTATACTGTCTGGGAACATTTTTGTGTTATACGCATCAGTTAAAATTGTCATGATGATGCCTTAATACTGACTAAACATATTGGCTTTCAATCAAGAACAATATTTAGGACATTGAATAAACACTTTAAAATTATAAGATGAATATTTCAAATTGGAAAACCTGTACTACAAATGAACACACACCTGAAATATGTTTTGGAATTTTTTCTACGTGATTCAATTAATAATAACACTTAATAAAAATCTTGCAACAAATAATTCTGAATAGCTATTGATCTAATGTTTTCATTTTGTCCCTTTTTACTTGTCCAGGTAATTGCAGTGATCTGTAGAACTAAAGCTTTAGAAATTAAGTGAGCACAACTGTAAACGCTAATTAAAACAGAAAATACAAATTAATTTTAAGTTGGAAGCCGAAATAGACATATTTTTAATGAGGGACTAAAGTGAATTTTAAGTTTTAATTGATTAAATTTAAGTTAAATTTGTGAGGAAATAATATGAACTAAAAATGCATTTTTTGTGGGAATTTAAACATATAAGTTGCAATAAAGAAATAAGGAATTGAATGATGCTGAATTTTAAGACAGTTTTATCTTGCATCAATGCAACGTGGCATATTTTGTGATATTTAAAAAAAATGGTTTCCTGTTTTTCTATTGTTTGTTATTTTTTTAAGCATTGCTCATATTTTGTCTTTAAAAATTTTGTATCGTTATGGCGCCTTTCGTTGTTCAAATCACACTCATCTATAACAAACTATCATTTTTGAAGCTCGTTTAAAGGTTAAAACAACACTACATATATGTACCATCTTTACAATGTAATTCATTAAATATTAGTGGAAGGTAATATAATACAAATTGCACATAAATTACAATGCCACAGCAAAAGAAAGATGCTTAATATACATACACAATAAGCTATCTATTAGGCTATCTATTTAATTTTTAACGATAGATAATGAGCTGGACATTTATCCCTTAAGGTGGCTTGATAATCTATACACACAATCATTTCTAGCTGAAAGCTCTTCATATTTAACTGCACAAATAACATTCAACATTTAATTGGTCATCATTTAAATATTCGCAGTATTCTTATACACCCCCTAATTATAAACATTTATTGAAATTCCATTTTGTACGTTCGGAGATGCTTCCCTGGTTAGGAAATATTCCATACTAGCCAACATGTGTCCAGTTTCGAATTGTGCACATTCCTATATGGTATTCCTGTCGTCCTATAACAGTGTTGATGGAATTAGATTAATCGTTTGTTTTTTCATCTGAGCATGACTCTACAAAACGAATATTTCTATCACAAAAGTAGAAAAACCGGAAGCACCGCGACATTCCGTATCGGATCTCTGTTCAGTTCCCATGGATTTGTAATCGGAGTATAGAAAATAGCACCATTTTAGAGTTCGGAGCTACGGCCACATTCCTTACAATACAATGGTCCCTGTCATAATCTGGCCACGTGATTGTTAGTTTGTGCTCTTCTCTTGATCGACCTCGGACTCCGCCTCGTCCTGTAAAAGGGACTTCCTCCATTGGGACTCCTGTGTCCATACTCAGACATTTCCAAGACGAGTTGGGATGTTTGGGGTCGATTCTGTTCCATGTTATGCAGAATTGTACTGCTGTAAGAGGTGTCTGCAGAGGCAAGACCATTGCAGGTTCTGTCTCGGTTCAGTTCCTTTTTCTTGTAGACAATCTCGATGAAGCCTTTTCTCACACGAACATTGAAGTATCCGTAGAAAATCGGGTTGAGCGCGCTGTTCAGAAGAGCAATTGTTTCAGCACCAATAATGATGGTTTTCGGTACTTCTATTGTGTAGTTACTGCAATGGATAAAAAGAAAAAAAACACAAGAGATTAAACCTTCTCTGGATCATGAATTTCCAAAAACAACACACATAAACTACCCTATGATAATAAAGTAAGACTTGAACACACACCTTACACGAAAGTGCGTGTGTTCAAGTTTTTTTTGACGCGCACATTGAAGTAGCCATAGAAAATGGGATTCAGCGCACTGTTAAGCAGATCAATTGTTTCAGCAGCGACGATGATGGATTTCGGTACCTGGATTGTGTAGTTACTGCAATGAACAAAACATAATGAATATAAATTATAATTCTTAAGTTGAAGAACCTAATGGAAGAACCCGTTAAAATAGACTTTTGGAAATGCAACTTTAGAATCATTATTTTTTTCTAAAGATCTGCCAAAAATAAGGCAAGTTAAACTGCTCATTTTAGATTCCAAAAAATGTTCAAACTGTCACAACACGTTCTTCCATCACGTTCTCCAATTATCTACACATTTTCTCCCGTAGATTCTAACTACGAAAATAAATGAAATATTAATTCTAATTAAGAAAAATATTACGTCTTATAAACAACCTCATAAGCGTAATAATAACTTTGTTGAAAGTTAAATGATACCTTTTATATTTTATAAAATACGAAAATGCATTTTATATTATCTAGCCCAATTCATTCGATTAAATTTCTATGATTAAAATATTACCCCCTTTCTCTTATGGATAAAATTTTGATCATGAATCTCCTGTGAACAATTTTTTTTTCGAATTTATTTATTATATAAGCTATATCTGAATAAACTACACTGCAGGTCATTAAAATTACTACAACAGGAAGGCGACACACTGCGAACGTAAAATTTGCAGGACAGATAAAGCATGTTGTGGTATACAGATGATTAGCTTATCAGCACTCAGCGCATTCATGCAAAGCAAGATGTGTGTGACCTACAATGTGTGTAGAAGAAGAGATGTGACAGAAATTTTCAAATTTGACAAAAATTGAATTGGAGCGTAGTTCTTGGGTAAAAAAGTTTTTGTTATGCCTCGTGTAAGAATGAGAAATGCCTACCAGCAGGTGTCTGAGCTTGGTCGAATTGTGACATACCGGGATTGCGGTTTATAATACCGAAGTATTACTGCTCGGGTTGGTCCAGATCTCATGACTGTTAGTAGAATATGGAATTGATAGGTTAATGACTGTCATATGGAAAGCAGCGCAGGATCTCAGCGGCCCCCCCCCCATTACTAATAGCCGAGAAGACAAACATGTAATCCACATAGCATTAAGGGATCGTATAGCTACATCACGAACCCCGAGTCAACAAATGAGATCATTTGCGAGACAACAAGTGTCTGCACGAACAGTTCGGCGAAGTTTGCAGCATGAACTGTCAGCACGGCGACCATGGCTTTGACTACCCTTGACGCTGCATCACAGACAGGAGCGCCTCCAATGGTGTGATCAACGACGAACCTGGATGCAGAAATGGCATGATGTCATCTTTTCAGACGAATCCATGTATTATGCATACCATCATGATTGCTGCATTGTGGAGAACGCTCTTTGGCAGCTTGTATTCGACGTCGTCATACTGGTCCATCACCTGGAGTAATGGGATGTGATGCCATTGGATACACGTCTCGATCACCTCTTGTTCGCATTGAACAGCTGCCGTTACATTTCTGATATGTTGGGACCAGTTGCTCTGCCTTATCTTCGAGGCCTCCAAAAAGCTACGTTTCAGCAGGACAATGCACGACCGTATGTTGCCCGCACTGTCCTGACCTTCCTTGACACAGAACATATTCGCCTGTTGCCCTAGCCAGCACATTCGCCTAATCTCTCACCAATTGAAAACTTCTGATCAATGGTTGCCGAACTACTGGCATGCATGAAATGCTGTATTCGGCCATGCTATCCAATATCTGTTCAACTCGATGCCCAGGAGAATAACTGCCGTTATTTGCTGCCCGGAGGGGCTGCTCTGATTACTAATTCCTCAGGATCTATGCATCCAAATAGCCTGAAACTTGAATTACTTGTTCTTCCAACTATAATGTATGTACCCAATAAATATCATTCTGTTATTTGTATTCATTCCTGGTGTAGCAATTTAATGGCCAGTAGTGAACATAGATTATCATTAAACTGCAGGAATTAGTTAAATTTATGATGTTAACTTTAAAAAAAAATTTATTAAACAAGTTTTTATTGTAAAACTTTATCTGAACAAAATATGTGAAAATTCTTTGAATTATAGGAATGAGTTAAATTTAGAATATTGGTATTTGAAAATAAAATCACGCAAGAAGTTTCTATTATACAAGCTATACAACTATACGAATATCGTTCAGCTGGAGAAATGAGTTTAATTTTACAGAATTAGTAACTGTCACGCTAAATATGCGTTTATAGTACCATGATTCAAATGCCTAATTAATAAGAATAAAAACAGTCGGTTTCTTCCTATACTTTAAATTCAACGAAAACTCAAGAAAAAAAGTTAAAATCACCACAAGTTAAGAGTAATCCAACAGTTTAGTTATGGTTTACTGTTAACTTATTAAGGCAATGTAATACTTACCTAAAGATTCTAATATTATGCACGATGAAATAGGGTGTCCAGCATATGATGAAACTAGCTATAATGCAAACTGTTAACTTCAATGTCTTTATCTTTGCTCGAGGGATGGTGGAGGCGGCATTAAATGATCTTCGAAGCCGGATAGTGGAATGAACAGTTTCTCCACTTCCTGAACTGGCTGAGGAGGTGGTTCGACTGCCGTCTTGTCCGGCTGCCCACACAGTTCTTAAGACATTGATGTAGCAGTAACTTATGCATCCGGCAGGAATTATTAATATATAAAAAGTGAGCCACATGAAATATACTTTCCGCTGCCAAGGAGCTGTGTAACCTCTACTTAAGCATTCGTAGCGGATACGACCGGATTCCGTTATGCCGTTTTCTTTCTGAAAATATATATTAATTTAACCGCTTCCTTTACCAATTTTTTTGAAAACAAAATGCAAAAAACATATTTTTTTATTTCATTTATAAATACAAGTAACTGAAACAGAACATAATACACACGTTCTAAATTGAAATTGCATTTTTTGTGTTTTGCATTGCATTTTTTGTGCATTTTTTGCTTTTTATGTGTAAAAATATTTAATGGACCATTAGTTTACTATCCCAAATGATCTCGGGCAAATGAAAAAAAAATTAAATATTAGTCTTAGTATAGGTTCACATCTTCATTCTCTGAAAATTACTTTCACTTTCATTCTTTTTTTTTTCTATGTAAATTCATCCTCCATCGTATTGTACAATTGTACAAAACGCGTCTGCAGTCCCACCAATAGCAAAACCCCCGAACAAAAATTGGCAAACTTCCAATCACAGCAGATTTTTATTATTTTTTGTTTTTCTTTCTGCCGAATAAAAACATGATAAAACAAAACATATGGACGAACATGAACATATTTTTAAAAAGAAGTATAAGCGAAATAAAGTAAAATATTTTCATCCAGGTATCTTATTCGAATTATTATTAGATCATCATTGTTGTGACGCAGCAATTGGCATTATATATNATGTTAACCCATTGATACAGGAGCGTAAACCAATGCAAACCCATATCCTAAGTTTTAAAATTTTTTTAATTACTTAAACTTATGTTTTTTGAATCATTATTAACCAAATTATATTTAAATTAAATCAATTAGTTAATTTAATTTTAATTTAAAGCAAAAAAATATTTTTTATTCTTTTCTATCGATCCAATGTAACGGCTAACTTTTTATTTCAATACTAATGTAAGACTCATTAATTCACTGTCGCGCCTAATCAAAAACAAAAATCTATTTATAACTCTTCATTTTTAAATTTCTTACCACACATATGTTTCAGTTACATGGTTATAATAATTCCCACAGTCTTTTTGGCGATTCGCGATCGCCAAGGTATTTTTCAAGCCTAATATTGATTACGGGGGGTTGGCTTTATTTTTGGCTATGTTATTTTTCGATAAATCACCAACGATAGATCTCTTCTCATGATTATAACTGTCTGTTGGAAATAATTAAATTACTTTTTAATTTGACTTTTGAAAAGGCAAGTCACGGGGGATTTGTCTCCCATGACCTGTCCTTATTATTATTATTATAATGCGAAATTTATTATTTCACTTTGAAAGTCTTATTATGGATATGATAGTAAATTGTATCTCAAGCTCTACAAATATTAAATAAAAGTTTGATTTTAATTGTGATCCGGTATTCATCTTCAACTGTTATTTTCATCTTCCAGTTTTCATCACAATCTCCAATTAGTCAACTATACCCCATACAACTTCCTACCAAACCTGAGTTTCGTCTTCACAATTGGGTTTATATGAAATTTTCATTTAACGTTTAAACTTCTTCTGAATTCCAATCATTATCTGCAAGTATTTCATAAAAGAAGAATTGAGAAGAAATTGCGGAAATTCAACATGCTATTGTGAAATGGTATTTCACTCAATTCGGAAGTCATTTTATTTAGAAATCACTTTGGTCTTCGAACATTTGTTTCGCGTGGTACTCAGACACACATGATTTTTAAAACAATAATTTTTAAACTTAAAAATTAGCAATTAATATAAGAAAATTAAAGTCAATTTTTACTTTGGTCAACAAAGAAAATTTTTCTTTTAGTTACTTTTTGCCAAATAATTACAATTTTTTCCCCCATATAAACAAAATGTATTAATTAAATTTAATGAATTAGTTAATAGTTGAAAAAACTGTATTAACATCCAGTGTCATCCAGTACAAGTTTAAAAAAATGTATTTGAACTTGAATAAAAAATATTTTATTAACGATTGAAAATTTGAACATGATATATAAATATATATATATAGTGCGAACTAATAGTTGGTATTGTTGAACTAATAGTTGGTACACGTTAATAAAATAGTTGATGAATAAAAAATATTTTATTAACGATTGAAAATTTGAAAATTAATAATTAAAAAAAAAATATTTGATGTGATCATGGAATTCAAAAATAATATACAAAATTAAAAATTATACATTGTAAACAATTAGAAATATATTTAAATTGATTATTGGAAACTGAACAACTTGAGTATATTTGTTTGGCCATATTTTAATTTTTTTTTAAATTTGGATATTGCTTTTGTACTCCATCGTTTGAAAATCGAAAAATTCATGAAATTTGAAAAATCTTAGATATCAACATTTATCAAGCTTTATTTTAAGTATTTATATATAAGTAATTATTGTATACATATAAAATTCTCTTCTATTCATTAAAATTTAAAAAAAAAAGAAATAAATTATTTCATCAGGAATTTCAGGTGTTTACGTAAGTGATTTCTGTAAATGTTGAAAGCATATATAAATTTATAACTACATGTATATGAAGTAACTAATAAGTTTTAAGAAAGCTTTGAAATACTGAATATCCATTCGTTTAAAATATATTCTAATTATCAGGTTAGGCAAACCGAGTAAAATATTATTAAAAACATAAAAAAGTGATAGAACTTTTCTTACTCTTTCAAAGTAATACAAAGATTATAAATAAATTAATTGATCATATAAAGCACAGACAAAGTAAGAGTAAATTTTAAAATGAATAAAAGTGTACCTGGACAAAAATGAAAATTTGAGGAATGGCAAAGACAAAGGCTAAAAGCCAAGAACCAGCTATCATCCGTTTGGCTTGTTTAACTCCTCCTGTGCTGTGTAATGGAGAACAAATGGCTTGGTAGCGGTCATAGCTCATTGTCGTCAAGATGAAAGTTGTGCTCGCCAATGTTACAATTTGGCCATATACAATTACTTTGCATGCAACAGCGCCAAGAACCCATTCACCAAAAACCTATAAAATTAATTTTTTTTCTCTTCATTTTCATTATTTTTTTGTGAAATAAATTTTAAAGAAATATTAAGTATTAAAATGGGAGGTTTTACAATATAAGGAATTCAATAGCACTAAATTCATAATTACAATGAGGTAAGATACACATAAGAATCAGGAAATTGTTTTTGAGACAATATAGAGTAAGAATCATTAATTTAGGATATATTAGACACACTATAATAAGATTCTATGTAAAATCTTAACTATCAGGTGATACTATACAGTTTTATTATTTTTACGCGGTTTGCACTTGTTTACGTTCGTGTGTCATATCATAAAATTAGACAATATGTAATATAGATATGAAATATTTATTATATGAAGCATTATATTAGTATATTATAATAATTAGATCAAATTATTAGACGCACTGTAGTGTTTTAATAATTATATGGTTTTTTTATATACTTATATACTTCCTATTAGTATTTATTTTTAGCGTATTGCATTACAATGTTGACCCATTGATACAGGAGCGTAAACCAATGCAAACCGGTTTCATCCGAGCAAAAACAATACAGCTGTATTGTATCTCCTGATAGTTATAATTTTACATGGAATCTTACAGCGCATCTAATAATATGGCCATATATATATATAATTACANTAATAATATGGAAGGGTACTCTATATATATATATATATATATATTAATAAATTAGTTTTCAAATCAAACATACGTGTTGAGCAAAGCAATACTTAAGGTATATTCCAACTAGTCTTAACTTAACTTTAACCAACTAGGATTGATTTGGCTAGGCTTTCATTTTTAACTTAGTGTCTTAAAAAAAAAGACATATAACACGAATTGAATGCGTTCATCATATTTAGGTCTTTCCTCTTTTTTTTCTTTTCGGCAGTTTGTATTCGATTCAATTTGCTTATAACATCTTCTCATCCATATCATGCAATTCTGTTTACACATCTGGTAAAAACCAAATTCAGTTCTTATGGTTCTAAACCTTATATTCAGCATATCGAAAATCTAGAAATAAAGACGGTCAACATTTAGATATATTAACGATTTTCTGTTATGCCATATTTTGACCAATTCATAAATTATTATATATCTTCTTATTTTAGAAATTAAAATGAATTTTGTATTGAATATTGAAAATTTTACAAAATATGCTTTCATTACATTTTTAAATCTTCGTTTTATTCCAATTGAATATAAACAAATACTTCTTTTCCTGAAGAAAATCCAATGTTGAAACAAAATATTATTATAGCGAAATAAATTCGCCAGACATATAGCTTTTTTTCATTTTTTTTTTCAGTGTTTGCAAGTAAAGGTTTTTATATCGCTATTGCAAATGTAGTTTATTGCATGAAATTGCAAATCTCAAAAGGGGAAAGAAAAGCATGCCAAAAAGCGTTGGAAATATTCGAGAATCCATTAAATTGGTATTAGAGCAATAAAACGTATGGAAACTAAATTGTGTGCTTCGTGATTTGGTTCTATAAATATGTAAGTATTTACAAAATACCATTTTTATGTCATTAATAAATAGTTTTTTTTCGTGTATTCATTCGAAATTTTATGATAGTATATATTGCTCAAATAATTTAATTGTAGAACTTAAAGTTCAGTTTTATTGGTATAATTCATTATTTTTGATTTATTCAAAATTAGTGCTTTATGCTAGTTAAACAGTTAAAGAAATGTCAACAAGGCTCGCTCTCTATTTAAAATAAAAACACTTATCGAATAATATCTAGGTTGAAACACATTCAAAATTTTATGAGAAACTTATTTTTCAGTGTGTAGAGCATTGTATAACCGTCGTTGAACAGCCGACCCAATTTTGAGTTTACGACTGCTAATGTTCAATTTCGCAGCTTTGTGCTTTTGAAGACAACTCACCTCCTGGTAACCCCAAGAAAACTCCAGTATTGTCAGAAATTTACCTTTGTGGTGATCTTTTTGATGGAACTAATCCGTATTTGCTGTAGACGGAGAGGAAAACCTCCTACGGTTAGACTGACGGAAAGGTAACTCTAATCCGTGATGCGTCTGCCACTGAGAATATTTTCGTCTGCTGTATAGTCTTTGCGAGCCGGGCTCGGAATGCGTATCGACCAGCCAGATTCGAACCTGTATCATTGGGAGGTGAGCATTATTCGAATACCAGCAATGGCTGGTCGATATGAATTCTGCTCCCTACTCTTACCGACAACAATGCTGACGTAAAATATTCTCAGTAGTATGTTTTGCTAACCATCCGTGTTACACCACCTTGTTGTTGCGCTAACCATGGGGAGTTTTCGTGGTGTTCTTCTCAATGAAACGTAAATGCTGGTTAGTGGTATTTAGAAAACACTCCTTGAATGTTAGTTTGCCCCAATATTTAATCCATGTCTGCTGGGTAGTTTTCAAAATTACAAGAGTACGAAGTTGAACAGCTGTAGTCCTAAACCCAGAAAAATGGGTCGACTGTTCATCAATATAATATAACGATATTGAGAATTTTAATTAAGAATCAGAAATTATAACCTACAGTTCAAACCGGATCGTTTTCAATACTAATTCAGGTGAATATCGCAAATAAAGATCGTCCAAACTGATTGACACAGTTCCAAAAGTTAAGAGTGGAAGCACGAAAAAAAACGATGCCAACGCCTCAACTTACCGAGGCTGGAAAAGCCAAAGAACGTAGACGGGAATACCTTAAGCCTTATACACAAATGTAAAAACGAAAGGATTTCGTTCGCAAACGCAAGCACGAAGCCGGTCCCTCACAAAAGTACCAAAGTGGTTGAGAGAATTGAAACCTACCGAAGAGCGAATGGTGACTCTCTGAACCCCTTTCATGCAAATACGAGAACTGAGTGTTGATCACCCGTTAGGGATCCATTGTCAACCCTACTCTATAACTTGCACAAGACTGTCTTCCACGCACGATAAATGATACATTCACTATTAAATGTACAATTTTTAAAAAAAAATCTAGCTTTCAAATCATATTTCACGTATGAACTTGTGAATCCGAAGAGGGTGTATGATGCAGCTTACAACCAACACCATTGTACCCATCCGAAAATGTTAATATTGACTATCTCGATTGACTGTTCAATGTCTATTCAGTCATCAAAAAAATTGACACAGAATGTGTCTGAGCAGCATTTAAGTATGTCACCGAAATTGTATACCGAGCAGTTCAGGATTAACTGTTAAAGATGTCCAAGAAAAAAAAAAAACACAATGAAGTTTCTTTTCCAAAAAAAAGAAAAAGACAACAATCATTTTGCCGATGGGTAACCCCCCAATTTTCTTCATTTTGTAGTGAATCGTATTTTATTATTATTCTTAGTTTTTAAATACTTAACTAAAATGCTATATAGACAAATAAATACTTACCTCAAAGAGAAGTTCGGAAGTCATTGTAATCAAGCACACCAGAAGATCGCCAATTGCCAAGTTGAGGATAAATATATTCACTCTGGAAGACCTCTTCCTGTATCTTGAGCGAGAAAGTACCAATACTATGATGGTATTTCCAACCAGAGTGGCGGTCATAATGATCGCCAATGTCACCACTCTCTGAATGAGTTCTGCATTCCAAATGGCACCTTCAGGGTAAACGGTGACATTGTGGTACAGATCTCCAAATCCCGTAGCTTCATAGGCGGATGATAGGGACGCGTTAAAAAAATGGATACTGTCTTGTTTTGAAGATGGTAACATAACAAGTAAAGAGAGCGCCATCCAAAATACTGTCAGAGTCAACCGTTTTTTGGGGATCATGTTGGGGGAAAAAACCGGTTGTACATTCTTGTACGTTATGTTATGTTTTATTATCTACAGTAAAAATTTAAATATCAGTGATTAGTCATTTACGTGTTAGAGATATCAGGAGTGTTACATCATTTACGTGTCAAAGATATCATGAGCGTTTATTTATTGACATGTTACAGATATCAGGAGTGTTTATTTGTTGACGTGTCACAGATATCAGGAGTGTTTATTTATTGACGTGTGAATAGGTTATTAGTAATGTTGTCTTTGGAGACTTAAGTAATTACTGTTAAGTATTATACGGAAGTGTTGATGCTTACTGATTTCGGATACTCTGTTGTAATGCAGGTTTTTAATGATTATTTGCAGTGATTGATTATAACGCATAACAGAGTATAATGCTGGCTTTTGGGAATTAATGACAATGTTGTTGGAGTCCAAAATATAATTTGATTAATTATGTATGAAAAGATACTTAAGTAATGTTGTTTTTAGAGACTTAAATTGCATATTGCATGTATAGTACTGTTACGTATTGCATTGAAGTACTGATGCGTACTGCCTTCGGATTCAGAGTAATGCTAATTTTTAAGGTTTAGAAATTTATAATTCAGTTTTATAGAGATGTGTAATACTGAATAATCATGATATAGGAACTTTTTACTGTGTGCATGTTTTGTATTGTTCTCAATTTTAAGTTTGATTTTTAAAGAAAACGAAAGTATTAGATAATAATTTAAAATTTTATATGATTGTTACAATCGATTCATTATTTTTAAAAGTGCTTTTTAGGACTTGAATTTCACAAGTTTAAATGCTGTGTGTGAAAAAATTTTATATTAATTTTCGAAATAGATTTTTGTATTTTTTTTTATAAGTCTTACACTTTTAGCTTTATCTCAGTTAATTTTAAAACTGAAAGCAGTAAATAAAAATTATTCTTTTCATATACTGCAAAAATTTATTTTACAATTTCAACTAAAAATAATCTATTAACAATTTTAACACTCTTTCTTATATATTTTGCAACAAACAAGACCTTCTATTCATAGGATTCTTCCACAAACTATTTTTTTATGTTCTTTTTTCTCAGACAGTAAGACAAAAACTTTCTATTAAGCGTAATGATTGTCGCTACAGTACAAAATCGAAAAAAAGATAATTAAAAAAATCACATTCAGGAACAAACTATAAAAAATTATGTTATAGATTTTGGGTTTTAAGCTTCTTAAAAAATTTCAAAACCTAAATAAAATTATATTTTTACGTTGTTCAATAATTTGAAAGGTACATGTGTAAGGTTAAATAAAAAGAAAATATTCTTAAGTTATATCGCAATTGTAAAATGTAAAATTTATGTAAGCAAAATATTGCAAATAATTTTATTGTATATTATTTATGTCCTTCGAATATTATTTTTTTTAAATTGAAATATTTATTTTTAAAAAATGTTATGTTTTAAAATATGTTTATAAATTTAGTCGCGAGACTTTATTTGTTTCTAAATACATGAAATAAAGTGGTTGGAATTCAGTAAATTGAACTAAAAGAATTTCAATGACACGTATACCTAAAATATTTGAAGAAACTGAAAATAGCACTGAATGAATTTATGGTTTGGTAAAATTTATTTGTTTTTAAGTACGCACATTTCATGAACAGTATTTTGACGGTACTGGCGATCTATCCGAAGTCCTCCTGCATCCCCAAGTGTGACATCACAGTCTGAAAAAATAAAGATAACAAAAATTTAAATAAAAATTGCGAAATATTTAATTTTTTTTCATAATCTTGCATGTTATTTAACAGTTTTTCGTTATATACATAAATCGAGAAGATTTCAAACAAGTTTATACTTCAATCCATAAATGCCCCAATATCAAATTCTTCAATATTTCATATAAAAATAATAAACGCCATTAACGAGACAAAAAAATTTAAAAATTGTATTTGGAGGAGGTAAAAAGATGGGTAATCAACTGGAAAAATCAAAAAATAAATAAATTAAAAAAATTAAAAAATTGTGATCGCTTTATTACGATTGCCCATTGGTCAAATTCTTATTTTTTCTGATTTGACGTCATTTGACCATTTCAAATCAACTGTCTCAATTGATGTTTGTCGTCGGATTTGTTTTCTATGTACGTGTTTCAAAACGTCACAAAAAGCTTTTGCCTTCTTCAGTAGTCATAGTTATATTAAAATCACCGTCAAGCTAATAATTATACGTTCATAATAAATAGAACATAAAAATTCTTCTAATTATTTTCATGTAAATACGTTAAGAATGACTACTGGTGCAAATAAATGAAAACGGGTGTTCGATCCCGGCGATGGCTGATCGATACGAATTCCACATCCGGCTTGCACCGATCGCAGTGCTGACGTGCTGACGTGAACTATCCTCAGTAGTAAACGGATCATGGGTTAGAGTCCCCTTGCAGTCAGGCTAACCATGGGAGGTTATCGTGGTCCTCCTCCCCATGCAACGCAAATGCGGGTTAGTTCTATCAAAAAATCTTCCATGAAGGCAAATTTCTCCCTACACTTAATCCAGGTGTTCCCTTGTCTTTTGGATTGGGTTGAAAATGACAAGTCTAAAGAGTTGAACATTAGTAGTCGTAAACCCTAACATTGGGTCGGCTGCTCAACGACGGTTTTAAAAATTAAAAAAAAACAGTAGCTGTCGCCATAGCCAGAGTGAGATGACGTCCAAATAAGGTGCACACGCCATCAAACCCAAAACAAGACCCAGTTAGGCAATGAGTAATAAATGCTCGTAACTTAATGTTTTACTTAAAATCCGAAAACGCTTATAGAAATCATAATATATTACTATTGTTAAAAATGTAACTTTTTAGCTCATTTTCAAACACTATCATTACTGAAAGAAAATATTCGAACCCCCCCCCCTAAAGAATGTTTTCTTAGAATAAATTTTTTATGAAATACAAATGAGGAATTTTGTGCTTTTGGAAAAACTGGCATTTGCTACCGATATAACTTAATTCAAAAGAAACATTTCAAATATATTTCAAAAGCTACCAAAATGTTAAAATCATACATTGTAAAAGCTTTTCTGGGAGGTCATAGAAAGTATTGTGTGTTTCTTTTTTATTATTATTTTTTTTTAGAAATGAACGACACAAAAAAGTTATATATTTGCCAAATTTATTTTTCAAGCAATTATTAATTAACTTCTTCTAAAACTAATTATTTTCAAAATTGTTTCAAATCTTATAATTCAAAAGCAATGTCATAAACGGGACTTTAGAACACAATTATGATTTGTTGTTGGAGAAGTTAGGCTTGGAAAAATTTACATTTTTATAGACAATAAAATATTTAAAATATATATCATAGAAACATATTGAAATTATATAATGCTTTTTATAATTTTACTATTACTGCAAAATGCACTGAGAAAACATCTTGTTCCAAGGGAAAACCAATAATAAATAATTTGTTCTTTAAAAATGTCTTTAACATAAATATTGATGCGTGCTTTGATGCAGCATTTGACGCATTCAGAAATTAAGGATTAAATATAAATTTCGAAATGCATATTTATCATACTTAACAAACGAGCAGAACAGTTCAGTCATTTTACTATTGGAGATTTTAAAGTCAGATATTTAAAGCAGCAGGGATTAAAAGTAGGATCAATGTATGGAACTTTGTAATTGAAATTTCAAAATAAGGACTGTTCTAGCACTCAAAAAATGGATTATTTATCTAAGCAAGTGAATAGAAAATGAATATAATTATTTTCACTGGTAAGGTACTCTAGTACCCGGTAATATAATACATGAACCAGTTTGAATATTATGGGTCAATATTAAGGTAAGATATTTTATAACAGTCGTTGAGCAACCGAACCAATTTTTTGGGTTTTTCGACTACTAATGTTCACAGCCTTAGCCTAGTCATTTTGAATGCAATTCAGAAGACAAGGCAACTTCTCGATCAAAGTATTGGGACAAATTTGCCTTCGTGGAGGACTTTCGGATGGAATTAACCCGCACTTGCGCTACACGGAGAGGAAAACCACGAGAACCTCCCATGGTTAGCCTGAAGGCAAAGGGACTCTAACCCATGACCCGTCTACTGCTGAGGATATTTCACGTCAACACTGTGGTCGGTGCAAGCCGGATGCGGATTCGTTTCGACCTGCCATCGCTGGGGATTTGAACCCGGTTCACTTCATTGGCAGACGAACGCTCTATCCCCTGAGCCATCGTGGCTCAAGGTAAGATATAGGTCCATGTAGTAATACTGAATATTGACTTCGAATTTCCACATTTTAACGCTATTATATATAGATATATATATCGATTGTAACATATAGGGCCACATTGTGGTCATCCTATTAGGCCTCTAATTATTTCCTCTAATAGGGTACACTAGTACCCGATATATAATACCTTGTTCAGTTTGAATATTATGGGTCAATATTAAGGGGGGATATAGAGCCATGCTGAAATACATGTTGAAATGCTTTAGAAATAAACAGCAAAATATTTAAAATTTTAAGTTTTGTTATTTGTTATTTTACGATGATTATGGGGATATTTGAGTTATGGTGATATTTTAAATAAATATTGAATGATAGTGAATAATTAAAGAGTAAAGCATATTCCGAACATGAAAGTCAGTGACCTATTCAGAAGTTAGGCCGAACAAGTTATGTATATTCTAGTTGTAATGCGAAAAAGATATCATCTTATTCAAAATCATAGGTATTTATCGGTTACCTTTAACTGATTTAAATATCACATTATATTATTATGCAATATCAATAAAAAACTGGGTTTCCACAGTCTGGAAAAAACATTTAAATAGTGGTAGCAAAGATTTTATAAGATTTCCAATATTTTTACAGTCTTTAATTTCACATCTATTTTAGGAATTCAGTTGGTCAATTTTAATACGAATAGGTAGTTAACTTTCAAATATTTTTGATCGATGATAATTAGCGAAAACATTTTGATTTCTTGATATTTCACTATCAGGTTTTAAATTTTTCTGGTAGGTGGAAACCCTATTAACAGTATATTGTTTCATTTTTCACTTTAAACAATTTATAAAAGGTAAAGTGCAGGCGAAATCGGATACTTTGATTTTGGCGAAATTATTTGTCTTCTTGATTATATGAGGCAAATTCTGAATTACACTTTACTAGTTAAGAAAAAGGACCTACCATAATAACTGTTGTTTTTGATTAATTCACAGCGTCTGTTAAGATAAGTTTGTATCAACTCTCTAAATGTTCTCCTGTTTTTAAGATTTATTGATTATTACAGTTATAAAGAATTCTTTTCAGTCCACGGCTTACTGTATACTAGTATTATATACTTACTATACTGAAGGTTCCTAAAAATAATGAAGATTTAAACTCATAAACGGCGCTGTTTTGTTTTGTTTCTATAACCTTTACTCGTGGGGTAAAACCGGGTATTATCTCTGTAATGTGTAAAATGAGACAAATAAAATTTATCAACACTCACAATAATATCGTTTGCGATATATACCGATGAGATACAATTTTTGATACATTATGCTATCGATAATAATTACTGTATTATCTTATTTACCCGTTTTATTTATGAATATTGACTACGGTATTATTGCAATTAATAGTTATTCTTGTCATAAATGATCGCGATATTGAAGTATTTGATGATAATCTATCTTATATAAAACGCTGATACGTATGTATCAATAAAACCGATGATATTTCTTTTCTCGCGTTGGCAATTATCATTAAAGCATTCATATCTTTTTCACTCTAAACAGTGAAGTCAAAATAAATATAATGAAAATTTCAGATGCTTATAACTTTTCTAAAAATTGTATTTTAAATTAATTTACGATTGCGTGACATTTCTTATCGCCTT